GATGGGAGTATGAGAAGTCCGCCATCCTTAATGGAAAAGAAGAGTACTTCAAATTTCAAGCCATGCAGCAGTACAAGCTCTTAGTTGGTGATCGAGAAATTAGGAGGAAAAATAGGAAAGAAGATGGGTCAACAATGAAACATGGTTACAATGGAGAGCCTAATTTCTTCAGACGTAGTGTGTCAATATTTGCCTTCACGGTCTATATCAGTGTCTTTCGACGAGCTAATTTTCAATCTCTCTGAAGTCTAAAGCAAGAAAAGTTGATGATAATCTGATAATTGAATTACACACACCAATACAAGAAGTAATGATTCTAAATCTCTTTGAAGTCTAAAGCAAGAAAAGTTGTTGATGATCTGATAACTGAATTACACACACCAATACAATACAAGAAGTAATGACTCTAAATCTCTCAATAAGTAGTCCAAACAACACACCAAAGTCTCTCATATAAGAAAACATAATACCAAGACTGGTCTGCACAAGTTCCCAACGATACATAATAGGGCTAACATGGTCAAAACAGTACAGGGAAGTGAAACAGCAAAAATGACAGAAAGGTGGAACTAAGGATTATTAGGCTTCAGAAAGGTCAATGAATATCATTGCAGCAGCTTTCTCTCCTTTTCTCTTTCTACCTTTTCTCCTAACTCCTAAGCAGGGCTTCTAAAAACACTCACCTTGGGAATGTAAATTGATTGGAAGTGTTCTTTGGTCTCATCACTTTCCCATTCCAAGGCATCCCACCAGGTTTGTTCCCCTTTAATCAACTTTAACTCTTTAGCATTTCCTTTCTTGAAAGGAAGCATTTTCAGCTCAGGACACTTGTATATGTGAAGCTCCTTTAGTTGGGACCATGCCAATGATGTGTCTTCACTTATGGTTCTAAATTGTGCCATGTCCAGAAGTTCCAAAATCTCTAAATTTTGCATTGATCCAAAGCCCCCAGTATTCATAATCAATACTTCAATCTTGGAGCAATTTTGAACGACAAGTTTTTTTATTGTTGGGAGTATCAAACTATCAAAGGATATCTTTGTCAACATCGGGCAACTTTCAACTACTATGGTATGTAGTTTTGAGAGACTTCCTTCTGAAATTGGGCCCTCCAAAATGCTTCTCAAAACTGGCAAGTTCCTTAAATGCAGCTGTTCCAAGGATGATAGGATGTTCGCACCTCTTGCATTATTATCATCCACAACAATTTCCATGCTATTGCATCCTTCAACTAGACAACCACGAATTCCATTTAGGCCTGGGGCTCGCATAAAGTCTAACAGACATCTAATATTGTCATGACCAATCAATTCTAATGCATCTGTTTCTGGGAACACATTAGAAATGGTGGAATTGTGATCATTCCCATTGTGACAATATCTCAAGTATCTATTTATTTTGTAATTGAAACAATCAAGAATTTTAGGAGGATTACTGCTTGGGCGCCCAACAAAAAACCAAAATGAAGTCAACTTTTGTCGGCCTTGCCATTCTGTCTTGTTTTCCAACAAATTCTGAAGGAGCTCCAACTTTGGAAAATAGATTTTGAGAGAAGTTAGCTTCTCCAAGGAAGCAATGACATGCAGAATAATATTGGTTGCCTCAATGCACCACTGAGCACAAGAGATCACATCAATTTCCAATTCTTCCAATCTGGAAAGTCTTGAAATCACATTATAATCCACCTCCAATTCTTCACAACCATTTTGAGAGCTTGGTTTATAGTATGAAACTTTCAAACACCTCAGATAAACCAGCTTCCCAATTGAAGGTGGTATGAAGATTACCTTGCAGCCTCGAATGTCAAGCACCTCAAGAAGATGAAGTTTTTCAATTTCGGGAGGCAAGCTTGTCAAACTGGTACAATTGTTTAAAAAGAGTGCCTTAAGTCCAGTCAAGTGTTTAAAGGATGGTGGAAGACTCCCAATTCCTGTGCTGTACAAGTTCAAAACCAAGAGGTTCTTCATGTTCCTAAAGAACAATGGAGGAATTGTTTTCAAGTCAGGATTTTTTTGTAAAAGTAGTGACAAAAGCATGCTGCATCTTGGGTTGTTTGGCAAGTGATCTAGTTTTGTGTCAATCATAAATATCCTTTTTGCCTGTTTCCAATCATTCACCTCTAGTGATGCTGTTGAAGTTCTGGTCTCTCCAATCAGAAACTTACAATCATTCTCTTCTGAGGATATATGAGAAGCAACTTGACGCACCATGTTACTCACGTAGACATGTTCCATCTTTTTATCTGTATGTAGTAATGACACATTAGATAGATGCCCCAATATGGCATATCCCTTATCACATGCTGTGCGGAAGCTCCTACTGTCATCAATACTGCCAAGGAAAGTTTCAGCTGCCCAACACTTCACCAAATAATCTGTGGATATCGTAGTGTCGGCTGGATGTAATGCAACATATAGCAAGCATATCTTTTTTTTCTCATCTTTTAGGTCATCATAACAGAACTTTATGAATGTATGTATTTCTGTCAAACCAGGGATCTCAACTTCTGACCAATTTCGGAGCTCTTCCAAACCATTTCTCCATTCATCAACACTGTTTTTCAATTTGAAGGAATTGGCCACTATGTTGATTAAGAGTGGGAGTCTATCACATTCCTCGGCTACTTGTCGGGCAACTGGTTCAACATCTGGGAGATCAATTTTGTCAGTTACTATTTGTCGAAACATCAACCAAGCTTCATCTGAAGATAATTGATTAACTTTGACCATTTCGTCTGCCATGGAATGGCAAACGTGACGAAATTCAGTTGTCAATACAAGCTTGCTACCATTGTTATTCCCAGGGATTCCAATTGCTTGCAGATCAATGAAGTCCATCACATCATCCAGAAGGAGCAAATATTTTTTATCTTTCAACTCTTCTGATATGCTTTCAG